GTGTCACATACAATTCCGCTTGCCGCCATAGCCGCCTGTTCAGGTGAAACGAACTCTCAGACCGGGAAAAGCCGAATTAACACCACAATCGCGACCGGCAAAAATGAACTTAAAGACGTTATCGGATTTGGTTTACAAATAATATTCGAGATCTTTTATGTATTTTCCCACGTCTCGGCGATTTTTTCTTTCAAAATCCCGGATAATTACCGAGGCCTGGCAGTCACTCTGCTCCCAGCAACCCTCTTTCTGATTGACCCTCTTTCGCAGTGGCGGAGTTTAGCGGAGGACATGGCGGTAGCAGAAATCCGCTAAATAGCGGAATATTGAGACCCATAATTCTGGCAAAACTAGCACACAAAATTACATATTTTATACTTTCTATTGACTTTCAGTCAAATTAACATGGAAGTGTGTTTTATACGGACATAAAACAGGTTGAATTAAAAAACAAAAATTCGATAAAAATTGCTTAACCGGTGAAAAAATGCCTGTTTCTTTGATTACATTATTTTGACGAGCGCCTGATTTCACCACGATGCCTCACAATTTGTTCTACGCCACGAAAACTCCCTGTCTATAATGGTGCTAAACTCAAACAGAGCTAAAACAAAATTTCATAATCTTTACCTATAAAGGAGTACCATTCAATGATAATAAACAGAACCACACTGACTAAGAAGTAGAAACAAACACAATATTATGTTTAACCTACCCGTAAGGAATACTTGTAGGAATCACCACCTTCTTCTTGACCTAGCAAAAGGAAAATGAGCAATTTGTTTTTATAGTTACTAAGTCAAGGTAATAAAAAATGCATAATCTGTCCCACATTTATCTGTCAATGCAATAAGGTTCCTAAAGACGAATCTCTCACAAGACCAAATTCAAACATTCTCGTTAAAAAGGATTTCAGATAAGCAATTGACTGTCTAAAACACTGATAGGATGGAACCTTTTGGTTCTTATTACTGTCAGTAGTGTGACTATCAGTGTTTTTACTAAATTAACTTTACATCATAAACATCTTAAAATTGTACACAAAACTAGAACAGCAAAAATTCACATTCAATGGGACAAAAAAAAGTAACAAATAATTTTTAAATAGAAACTGCTGTTCTACAAATGTAATACATTAATGCACATTAAAGCTCATTAGCATTAAAAAAAACCACCCACAGAATTCCTCTGGATCGGCCTCCCATGTTGACAGATCGTCAATGGTCAACAAGAAGTAGTCTGACACCAAACGACGACAAATCTCTGCCAGTGTGTCGAAGGAGAAGAATTCCGTGATGATCTTGTTTGCCTCCAGGGTCACAGGGCATGCGTCTTCTTGTTAGAATAAAGAAAAATTGTCTTTATTAAGTTGACACAACTAACACAGCTAACAGTTGAAATGTTCAAGTCCATTTACTGAATCATTTTTCTTTTCATCACATCCAAGAGTAAACATTTTCATTTCACATTAGTGGATCCTTTTAAGTAAATTTCACCTTTGTTATAAAGATAGCAACACATTCATCCCATGAAAAACATGCAAAAAATTTTAACTATGACTCCAGAAAATATAAACATCATTCTCAAAGTGAAACTTACCCTCTTTATTCTTTCTGGGTTTGTACACATCACTGAATAGAATCTGCTTCATCAAGTTGAAACAGTTAACCGTAAACCTTTCAAACAAAAGTCCTGAAAAAGAAAGAAAATGTTCCAAAATACTTATGTCCCCAGACCACTTCAATGTCATGCATTTTACCCTGCCTGGAAGTCTATACATTGTAGACTATATCTTCATGAGTGGGAAAAGAAGATCAAAAAGAATACAATTAAAAATTGTACATCCTAGGCAGAAAATAACTCTAAAAAGACCATTGCTTCAGTCTTTTTTTGGTATTTTGTATTTTAGTTTAGTTTAGTAAGGTTTTTTACGGTGCTCACAACTGCATATGGTCATATGAGCGCCAAGGGGTGGATGTCAACAGAGAAGTCCAAACTGGGAATCAGGATTACTCTGCTCACCTCTCTAGCCTCAACAGCACAAAGTCTGCTTTGGCTATCAAGGCACCCCGAGCAGTTCACAAGAGAGTGACAAACATACAAAAGGAGGAAAAATGATGATAGTGAGGATGAGGAAAGAAAAAGCAGTAGTTCCCCCTATGTTGTTGCAGCGCAGTATGAGCATGGCATTGATAAATCAGCCCATGTACAATTCTACGGTGAATAAAAACATGTTAATATCCCCCCTTTGGGAATGGCCTAAAAACACTCCAGTCTGTGGTTTTGGTATTTTACGGCCCTCGCAACTGCATAAGGTCATATGAGCGCGGGACACATTAAACATTTTCAGTTGGTAGGAATTTTGAATTTTGTGCCGGTGCCGGCCAAAGCTTACTCTTATCGATTTTAGGACCACCAAGGGATCTTTAACGTGTGCAACTTGTACAGGGACCTTTGAGATTTTTCGCCCGTATTCCTTCCCCATCCCACATAGCAAACCATTGCGCGGATGTACTAAAAGCTCAATGTCTTGAGATTTATTCTGCGTTAGAATGGTTAATGTTTGTGTCTTAGTTTTTGTTCAAGACAAGTGTTTGTAGAGTACCCAATTTGTCCTATTTTAGTTACAAACTTATGAATAAATGATTGTTAATTTTAAAAAGGCACGACATATCTCTCCAAAATCTGTGTTAAACTGACTACGAATCTCATGTCTTTTACCATGAGAAATCTGATGTCTGCGCGAGTAGAAATAGTCAAGTCATAAGAGAAGAAAGATGCACATCTGCATTTTTTAACTAAAGACGATCAGCGTTAGCTCTTATTTTACTATTAAACAAGAGAAAGTTACTCTGCGTTTGTTCATGAATCATGCTGTGTCTGTGGCAGCCTGCATACAACTAAAAAGATATAATATAGAATCTAAGTGATAAAAAACCCCCACAAAACCCTGTAAATACATGGGTAGAGATAAACTTCTTGTATGGAATAAAAATAATGACAGCCAACACATTCATTCTTAGTTTTTGTGTCGGAAATATGTGCAGACACAATTCTGAATGTAAAGAAATCAGTTACATTGTCAGTTATTGCAAACGGTCATAGAAACGAAAAATAAAGCTGGAAAAGTCTGCTGCTGATTCAGTGTCCCTGGAAAGCTAGAAATTATTCTTATAACCCGATTACGAGAAGTCATCCCTATTATTCAGTCAACTTACAAAACCTAAATTAGCTTTTTAAGAAGAGTAAGGAATTTCTGGAGTGTAACAGATACTGTTCGTGTATTAGATCTACATTGAAGATGTATTCTAGCACTAAAATCAATTTGTACTTTTCATAGAGAAACTTCATGGTAACTTTTATAAACTTTCGAGAAAATATGCAAATATTCATGATTATATTAGACACATAAAGTTGTATTTGGAGGAATTACTTCATATCGAATTGTGTGCCCGATGGATAAAGTTGCAAAATTACAGCTTTCTATTATAAGCGCAGATACCATCTTTTCTGAGTATCTGCACCAATGTCATGTCGTTCATGTTCCAAAAGTTCGACAGATTTTGACGAGACCTTTTTTTTTATATTGATTTTTTTTCATTCACGCTAGTCCAAAAAAAATTACAATTTAGCATTGCCGACTCCAGCGCGTCTAACGAAATAACCAGACAAGTTACAACGTCCGTTCTTTTTTGAGTCTCAAAAACAGAAATGCATGCTTTGGGTGCACTAAATGAGAATTCCCATAAATACAAGGATACACCTAGAATTGTACGTTGAAAAGTACCAAAAATTAAGTCGGCCCAGACAGAGCGGCGACAGGGAGCCGACCCCCGTGACCCCGACGTGATAAGGCGCCCGACGGAGAACCCCCCGCGGCAACTAAAATTCCACTGCCGGTGCGCCGTGCCTAGTAAAAGCTGATTACCTGTTGTGGTCATGTTTTAGGCGGGGTTTTTTTTGTTTAGTTTAGTTTGCAGTATAAAATATAAATTTTTGGCGGGATGCTGAGACAATTTATTTATTCAAAGACATTATTATCAACGTTTGAGCATAATGCTTACCTTTTGCGGTAAAATTATACTGTACAACAAAGGTTAGCGTCATTTTGATAAAATGCACATATGAGGTAGGATGCAGCTCCAACAGATCCAAAAGCTGTGGAACAAATACAAAAACACAGTGATGTGGACTTTCAATTGAAAGTCAGCTGCTGAACCCAGATATTCCTAATCTCAAAATTGAACATCACAGAGAACAAACTTTGTAAATAAAGAGCAAATGAAGCATTTACACTAAACTGGAGACAAACATTGGTCTAAATTATTCAGAAAATAAATATTGTGGGTTTAAAAAAAAAATGGTTTAGACCATACCTCAGACTCAATAAAGGAACAAACAAAAAATTACCTAAAAAAAATATATATACATCAGCGCTCGCAACTGCATAAGGTCATATGAGCGCCAAGGGGCGGGTGTCAACAGATAAGTCTTTACAGGGAATCAGACTTTCTTTGCTCACCTCTCTAGCTTCAACAGCACAAAGTTTGCTTCGACTATCAAGGCACCCCGGAAATAGCAGGTCACAAGAATGACAAACATACAAAAGAAGTAGAGGAAAATGACAGTAGTAAGGATTAGGAAAAAAACCCCAGCAGTTCCCTGTTGAAGATCAGGCACAGTTATGAGCGTGACATGATGAATCAGCCCATTTACAATTCTACTGTGCATGAACGAGAAATGCACCCCCTTTGGGAATGGGATAAAGACACTACAGTCGGTGGCATTGCCCCGGGGGGAATCCTCCAAGTCAGACTTTCACAGTAGTGACATTTTCAGAAGAAATTAAAGCAAATGAGAAAATGACTGGTTTGAGGATACAGTTAGAGAGACTCAGCAGTGGGAAGATACAACAACACTAGTAATAAATTCTATGAAAAGTGTTTCCATGCCTATAATTTGAAACAATTTGTAATTCGTTGTATTAGTATGTGATCATCATGTTTGAATACGAGACCACCTAACTTCAGAGCACTTTCTTACCACTTTTGTGACTGAAGAGATGAGACGTTCACATTTCTCCAACATAGCATGATTTCCCCACAAACTGCGGCCTATATGAGAACAGAACAAGGAAGAGAATTGCAATGCAGAGTTAACCTGTTATTGCTACATAAACAAAACCTGCCAATTAACGAGTAAATATGAGCAATAATAGTGCTGAAAAAACTATCGGAGCATACACCTGAATTCTTATTTTTAAACACAACAAAAATATTTGTAAAAAATAAAAGGGAGACTTTTGCAATAGCAATGCCGAAAAACAGCTTTCTTTTACCGAAAGTTCATTCATTAGTTACAGTACCATCATAGATTCGCTAGTTTCGGTTTTATGACTCATTTAGTGACGTTTATGTCACTTTTAGATTTAGTACCAAAAAAAGGGCCCCGCCGTAGTGGGTCTACCCCCCTCGGAGATAAAGAGTTAAGAGAGAAAGTATCAATTGATCAATGAAAAAATATTTTAAAACATGAATTTATCATAAACCTTCAGCACTCTACACAACCAACCAGTCGTGGAATTTTAGTTGATGCAGGGGATTCCCTGCTGATTACCTTATTATAACATACTTCATTGATTAGTGCAATATTTCAATCCCCCCTCTCCCCCCTGCACATACTCTCAGCGACACACACACACACCTCTATCTACAGTGTGAGTTACTTTATTGGGAATTGGGCATGAAGATTCAACTTTTCTTCAGTCTAAATTTGAGGTACATGTCTTTCTTCTTGAAGCACTCAGCTGTAAAGCTCTAAGCAGATTCGTAATTTCACATATGAGAAGGCATTGCACAGACAGTCATTTTTTCAAATAATTAGAAAAAATCTATTGTGGTGATATCGAATGAATAATATTTTATTTAAATTGACGAAAGAAAAATAAGACAGATTGGCCACCCTACAAACACTTGAATCAAATGCAAACTGGATGCTCGAAAGCAGATAAAATGTGGAAACTTTGAGCAGTCAATCTATTATTTAGTGGTATGCTTATGCTGCATGAGACAAGCAGGAAGTAACATGGTTTCAAAATGTCGGCAAAAAGACAACTTTAAAACAGTTATGGCTGAAAACTCGTCTCTGCATCACCTGAACTCAGTTTTCTAAAGTCAAACAGCTGCTGAGGGCTGGCCAGTTGCTGTTAACTAAATGGCACAATATAGTTAAAAAAGTGGCGCCCTTCTGGCATACAGAATACAAATCTTAATATTTTATGACAAATAAAGAACACTAAATTTTTAAAAATAATGGCAACTTACGACAGTCTAGGAGAGCATCCAGTTGTGGAAATAAGTTAGAAACAAAATTCATCGCTTCATCACTCTTCGCAAGTTCCTTGAAGCCATAACATACTTGTTTCCGCAACACTGCAATATAGCAACCATACAATACATAATTAATATCATACAAAACATAGAAAAGGCCAAATATCCAACAAAATCTTTCCAACATTTCGAATTTAAAGCTGTAACTCAATGTTCAATTATGTCACTTGGAGCCTGTTCAAACAGTCAAAAATTCCTTCCCTAGTTCTCAACTTGAAGTGAGTCAAAACACTTGTCTTTACAAAAGTACTGCAAAACAATCAGAAATCATTATTACACTTACCAACAGTGCATAATGTCAGAAAAATCCTTACTTCATAACTTGTCATTTTCAGATTTTCTATCCTTTAAAATCTTTTCAGACATTTAGAAAAAAGTCCATCTAAAATTAAACATAAATCCATGATTCTACAATAAACATGTTCCACACTCTGGATGAAACTTACAAGTTATCCTTATTATCCTTTCATAGAAAAAAATAACATTTTCAAAAAATGATAATTTTAACCTTTGACATCATTGTTACTACACAAAGAGCAGCTTTAAAAAACAGTTTAAGACAATTAAACAATTTCAACACGTCATTAATACAATTTTAAAGCAAATTCACAGTCAATTAGAACTAGACATTTCTCAAACTTGACCTGGCTTTGCAAACGAAGTGTAGGAGAGTACTGTACGCATCAAGCCTCCTTCCCTTTACTATGTCATTGTATTCATTCACACTACTCACCACCGTTCACCACGTGGAAGGATACAAGCTGACATAAATTTTGATATGCGATGTTAAAGGGTTCAATGACAATACTAGAAATTTCAAAGAGTGGCTTTGTGGATTTAATTTGCTCATGAAGTGGAATAGAATATAAATGGGCATCCCTTACTGTTTTTTAAAACTGATGTGCACTTCCCAGATCGAGAAAGGCAACAAGCTGACCTAAATGTAAGTATGCAGTATGATGGGGATTTGTTTTTTGAATGAGCTGTGGAAACCTTCCGCAAACAAGCTCTGCCAGCAAATGTTCTCAAGCAATCTCAGTTATTAGGTAAAATGACTCATGTAACAAAATATCTTTTAAAATTCATGTTTAGCATAGAATAAAAACAAAGCCTTGCATAATATCGATAGATACATGGATAAAGAAAAACTTTGTAATTGAGCTCATTTCTTGTAAAAAAAATATATATTTTTAAGCTATATTGCCCTGTGTACCGTTTACCAGGCACACACACATTATTATTACTAGAGACTTCCGGAAGCTTTAAAAAAAATAATTTACACTCCTGAGAACTGGTACACATAAGCATAAAGATTAAATAGCCCAGGATGCCTTTATCTAGAATTAAATTATTCCCCTTTGAACATTTGAGAGTAAAGACTCCATAATTAGGTTAACAAAAGCATCTACCCTTAGACTTACACTTACATGACCTCATTCTACAGGACAGACTATAAAACATATTTCTTTTATTACAGCTACAAATTACAGGTACGATGACCACTGTTGTGTACACCCTTATTCTTCCAACGTCACAAAAGAAAAAGAAAACTATGAGAAGAAAGCCTGGGCATATGATTTAAGTAAATATTTTAAAAATAAAATGGCTACCTTTGAGGACAAGGCGACATCTGTCAATCATTGGGCTCATTGACTCATCTTGCTGTGATGCACTTTGGAAAAAGGCAGACAGTTGTGAGTTCCAAAGGCCTAGCATAAAGCCAAACACATCCTGAGTCAGCTGCCGACCAACATGAGGAAAAGGGCAAAAATCAATGGGTACTTATTAAAACTTCACCTACAGAAAGGAGCTTTGAAACCAATAATAAACCCTAACAAATGTCTCACAATTCTTGCTGAAAGTGATGTCCATTCCATATTAGAGGACTATTTTTTTAATAACAGATCACTCTCAATTTCAACTGTTATCCTCTGACTCCAAACAAAATATTGGAAATCTGGGCTTACCTCAAAGAATTTATGACACTTACTTTATAACAATTGTTCTTTACTTTGTTGAAAGTACTGAACCCAAAAATTTCATATATATATATATATATATATATATATATATAAATATATATAACCTTTTGAGTCGGGTCAATGGAAAAGACACCCACACAGAGTGTGTTTTGATCTCTTCTGAACCCCTGAGACTGACTCACTGAAGCCCCAACGTTCGATCAAACCCAGGTATTCTTTAGACATGACGTACAAAAATGTTCTCATGGTCAATGTCAAACTAATTTTACAATAATTGAGATAAACACTTCAGTCAAATTCTTAAAATACAAGCTAGGTAAAACTCAAACTTACATCTTCAAACAACTTTCTGTCCGGAGCAAGTCTCTTGGAAGCCAAAGTCTTTGTCACGTGGTGTAGCACAAGAAGAGCCCTCCCCTGAATAAGCTGATCATCACACCTGACAGCACTCAAAAGTGTAGGCAGCAGAGAATCCCAGTTCCGTGGGCAATCCAAGCGGGAAATTTTGGCAGTGAGGACAGCTATCTGAGTGGCAATCTGATAGTAACACATAATAACAAGGTAGTAGACAAGCAGTTTGCCATTAAAAAAATGTCAGTGCTGCTCTCCATAATATTATTAGTAGTCTCAAATCAAATTAAACAAAATTCTTGTAAATCTCTTCAGAATTCATGAAAACAACATTTAAAAAATATGTACACATATCAACACTATCACAAGGAAAATTAGTGACCCTGTTTGACCCGATTTCACAGGGAGAGTTAAAAACACAGTTATTTTTCACTTTTTCTTGCAAGAGCTGTGATATTCTAAAGCATTGGAAGGCAATATGTTGCTAGAATAAGGTACAAAGAAAAAAAACAGAAAAAGCCATTGACTCAAGAACGATTACGTGGAATAGAAAGAATAGACCACCTGTTACACAAGCGCATGAAGTAATTGTACATGAGCAACAGATCTTTACTTTGAACCTTTTGTGAAAGTAAAGGGAAATAACTTTATGTTTTCGTGTTATACCATTGTTGAATCAACATAAGTGAGGCATCTTGGTGAAATCAGGTGCTTGTCACAATAATGACATCGGAGAAACCAGCATTTTAATGCCGGTTCAAGGATTTTTATCAAATTTTTGTCCTTTAGCTTATCACTTTTTATGTCCATTTAAAAATTCACTTCCTTGTGGATTTTACTAAAAAACATTCATCAAAGACACAAAAAATGTAACTTTTTGGTTTCCAAGGACTCATGCGATGAAAGCTACCAAAATTTGGCGGCTAATTTCTTGATAATTTTACCTCTAAAACCAGGCGACCCCCACCTTCTTCAATTTCAAGTATCTCGACTTCTATTCATGATAGATATTTTTACAAATTGCAAGCAGGGCGAATGAACAGCCTGAAAAATGATGTAAATAACTCACATGCCCAAAAATTGATGAGCGCCTCATTTCATCACGTCATGACACATGTGACGATCATGTTATGGTCTTAATTAATTGAAACTTCATGTTGTCATCCATTCAGGTTACTCAGACAAGATAATTATAAACTTGCACAATTTGAAAGCATCAAATGCAAACAAGATGCAAATATTACCTAAATAAATAAAAGTAGAAATTGAAAAGGGAACTAAACACAGAGCATGAAGTGTTGAGCACTTGTCATGATCCCTTGCTTAAGTAAAATGACATCGTACATAGACTGTCAAGCACAAAATATACTTGTAGGCATTGTTACCTGAGGCACTGGTTCGGTGAAATCTGAGACTAATCTCTCCTTAATCATGTCCTTTTCTGCCTCTGAAATAGCGCTGAAGAAAAGAATTATCCAAACAAAGTTAAATGAGAATATACAAAGTAATATTTCTAGAATTTCATCTACATGACATTAGTTTATAGTTTTTAAAAAAAGAGAGAATTATTCTAAAGTCTAGAACTCAACCATTGTCATTTAAATCATTTCTTCAAAGCCAGTCCTAAGCCATAATTAGTATCACCATCTATCTTTAATTTTTAATTACAATAATATCTACCTAAGAATGCACACGGCCCTGCAGGTGGGGGCCCCCATAGTTTTACTATGGGGGAGTAAAGAATACACCTGCCGTGATACTGCGTGTCGTAAGAGGCGACTAAAGGTGCATAGGTTTGGCAACCCGAAAAGTGACAGTTTGCGGAGGGCCAACTACCCAACCCGGTAAAAAAGGAAAGTTATAGAAATACGAACAAACATGCCTTATAATTTTTCCATCTAGGGAGACGGAGGAGCTTCTGCATCAGCAGGAACAATGAAGGACAGCGGACAAAGCCGAAAGGACTCTTCTGACCCGAAACCTTCTCTGTCGAACAAGTCTCTCCGGATTGCGTCGTGGAATGTACGCACCATGTATGAAGCAGGAAAGAGTTCTCAAGTGACGCAAAAGATGAAAAGATACAGGCTGCACATACTAGGAGTCAGTTAAACCCACTGGATACAGTCTGGACAGAAGCAGCTCAGCTCGGGGGAACAAATATTGTATTCTGGGAGGGAAGACAAGCACCATGTGGAGGGAGTTGAAATTATTTTGAGTAAGTATACACAGAAGTCACTTAGAGGATGGGAACCACAGGGGGAGAGGATCATCATGGCTTCTTTCACTACCAGAAGTTAGAGCATCAACATGAACATAGTACAGATCTACGCCCCAACAAACGATGCTTCGGATGATGACAAGGATGCTTTTTACAGTCGGCTCCAGGGGGTCATTGACAAACTACCAAGGAAAGATGCAAACATCATAATGGGAGATGCTAATGCCAAGATTGGGAATCATGGGACAACAAGGCCTGGGACAAATGAATGAGAACGGGGAGCGATTTGCAAATATCTGTGCTTTCAACAGCCTTGTCATCGGAGGCTCGTTTTTCCCCATAAGAGGATCCACAAGGCTACTTGGGTATCACCTGATGGAGTGACGGAGAACCAGATCGATCACTTTCGTATCTCTCGTAGGTTCAGGCGTTCACTGGAAGATGTCAAAGTACAGAGAAGGGCAGACGTTGGATTGGATCATCATCTGCTGTAAGCAAAACTCAAGCTTCGTCTCAAAAAGCATGGAACCAGAACAGGAACCAAAAGAATGAAGTTCCAAGCAAGTCTTTTAGATGGATACAAGAAACCGGAGTTTCAACTGCAGTTGAGGAACAGATTTCAACCCTTGGCCGATCTTGGTGAGGAAAACATGGAGGCAGATACACACTGGACCAAGGTCAAAGAAGTCATATTTGATTAGTATTAGAAGACAATTGAAAGCAGTGACAAATGCCAGTAGAACAAGGGGATCAAAAGCGGACGCATTGGAGCAGTACAGGACGACAGCTAAAGATGTAAAGAGATCACTGAGAAAAGACAAGGAGAAATTCATGAACAGGCTTGCAGAGAGGGCAGAGGAGGCAGCAGCAGGAAGGAAAATGCGATTCCTTTACCAGACTACAAAGACTCTTTCTGGAAAATGTGGAAAACCAGAAGTAACAGTAAAGGACCAAGAGGGAAAAACCATTTTTGGAAAGGAAGCTCAGTCAAGACGATGAGAGGAGCATTTCAACAGTCTCCTGAACAGACCACCACCAAGTAACCTACCAAACATCCTGTCAGCAAGAAATGAGCTACCAATCTGCTGTGATACCCCATCGAAACAATAGATTATGGATGCCGTTAAGAAGCTGAACAACGGTAAAGCGACTGGTCCTGATCAGATTCCACCTGAGGCCCTAAAAACAGATGCCAAAGTGACGGCAGACCTCCTTCTCCCATTGTTTACCAGGATCTGGAATGAGAGCAAGTTCCCAAAGGATTGGAAAAAAAGGACACCTTGTGAAGCTTCCAAAAAAGGGGGATCTCAGCAACTGCAGCAACTACAGAGGGATCACTCTTCTCTCAATACCAGGAAAGGTCTTCAACAGAATAATTATGGAGAGAATCAAGTCTGCAACAGATCCAAGACTTCAGGATGAACAGGCTGGTTTTCGAAAAAATCGGTTAACCACGGACCAGATTGCTACACTGAGGATCATAGTGGAACAGTCCCTCGAGTGGAACTCCCAGTTGATCGTCAACTTTCTTCACTATGAGAAGGCCTTTGACAGCATAGACCTAGCAACACTGTGGAAGATACTGAGACATCACGGAATCCCACAGAAGTTGGTTAACCTCATCGGGAGCATGTACGAAGGGACAAGTTGCAGGGTTGTACATGAAGGCCAGCTCACTGACAGCTCTGACATCAAAACTGGTGTGAGACAGGGATGTTTACTATCACCTGTGTGAGACAGGGATGTTTACTATCACCTTTCCTCTTTATCTTGGCAATCGACTGGCTGATGAAGGAAACCACCAGAGCACAGTTGGACGATCTGGACTTTGCAGATGACTTGGCGCTTCTGTCACACACTCAGGAACAGATGCAAGCAAAGACAACAATTTTAAACAGCCTATCAGAGTCTGTTGGGTTGAGGATCCACCCCGGAAAGTTGAAAGTCCTAAGGATAGATGCACTACGAAAGGAGCAGGTCACAGTACAAGAAAATGCTCTAGAAGACATCGAATCCTTCTGCTATCTTGGGAGTATAATGGACAGAGAGGGAGGAACAGGCGCTGAAATAAAGTGTCTCGCATTGGAAAGGCACAGACTGCATTTATTTCTTTGAACAGGATTTGGAGGACCAGGGATATCTCATTACGAACAAAGCTTAGAATTTTCAACTCAAATGTGAAGTCAGTCTTGTTGTATGGGTGTGAGACGTGGAACGCATCCCAGACGTGTATAAAGAGGATCCAGGTTTTCTTAAACAAGTGTCTGAGGAAGCTACAGAGGATCAAATGGACAGACAGGATCACCAACAAGGAAGTATTAAGAAGAACGAGACAGAGCCCAGTCAGAGGTGAGGTGGGAAGAAGACGTTGGCGTTGGATTGGACACACTTTCAGGAAGTCTAGCAGCTGCACAACAAGAAAAGTGTTAGATTGGAACCCACAGGGTAAAAGATCAAGAGGAAGACCACGTGGAACCTGGAGAAGAGTCACGGAACACGGTGTCACTTTTCACCCGATTCTGTTACCTTTAGTTAGCATGACTCAGCAGCCCGCCGGAGCTCCCCGGATCAGGGTCACGGGGTTAATGAGCCCTGAAGCGACTTTGCTGATGCCGGTTAGGAAGTTCGCATTTTTGACTATGTTTAAAACGATACAACTTCTTTCCCATATCACACAGCAAACCATTACGCGGATGTACTAAAAGCAAGGTCCCCACCAAATCCTGGAAAATATTTTCAAGACCCCCAAATTTTTTTCAAGACCCCAATTCAAGGGAAAAATCAGGCCGCTGCACGTCAAGAATGATCCCCCAAAAAGCCAATCTATCAATGATAAAATGTCAAAATGTCTATAAATGAATGCAAATGTACATTTTGTAGTATAGTCTTCAAACAATAGATGACTATAATACTGGGTGACTGCCAACCCAGCTTCTCAATTTTCCAAGGGAGGGGCCTCATCCATTTTCCAGGAACACGTTACATAACAATGAAAGCATAGTGCTCCATTTATATCTAATATAATACATGTATATGTTTGTAAATACACACACACACAAACATGTAGGTACATTATATAAAGTCAACTACATGTCAGTGTGGCACTGGGATCTTGAGAGACTTTGGTATTTTAGTCTGTTCTTACTTATTTATATTTTCCCCTCATCATATTAGCCAACATAACAAACTATAGGCCCAATATAAAAAATGAATCCTGTTTTGAGTCTGAGAAAAGACCTAGAACTAGAATATCGACTGTCAATAACCAGTCTGGGTGTCTTGATTCATATAATAATCGTGAAGACGAAAACCATTGCTGTAACTCAAAGAAGAGTAATATTAGTAATAACTAGAATGGCTCAAGTACACCTATTCAGTGTGAGAGGTGTAAGAACTGGTTTGGGGGGGGGGGGAGCGCAAGATGCAGTGACACTGAAAATCTGCCAGTCTTGAACAGAAAGCTAAAATATAGATATAAATTACAATCACCCCATCCAATGAAACCCGAACACTTTAGTTCAATAACAAGGCATGACGGATCCCGATTCCACACAAGGCCTGCACCAACGCGCGCTTTGCAGAGAGCTCTAAGTAGTTATCAAAATGCTAAAAATTTGTTTCCAAGTTCAGTTTTTGTCCTCTAGCATTGCCTTCAGGGTTTCCCTCCCACGAGTGTATCTTATAAAGGAGTCCTATACTTCACAGCGCTCAGACCGCGGTACTCACAGGTTCATTGACCGGTCACGAGGGCGAACCTGACAAGACGCTTATATAAGTTCTTTTTCTTTTCCCACAAGCGACAGCAGAGGGTAATTTTTAATATTGATTTATTTTCAAGGCGACGCAGCGTTCATAATGCATAACCTGCATGTTACAAATGTTGCGTTATCTATCAGACTGTTACCGCAAAATTTCAGGGCGGCAACGAAAGCGAAAGTACACCTTGATTCTTCCCGATCGAGCCTCAGTGTCACACATACACTTCCGCCACAGCGGTTCAATTACGATTCCTCTTCAGGATTCATCAACCATGCAATCTAGATAGCTACACATTACACAGGCCCTATCCTTTCCCGACTTACCGACCCCTTACAAAATTCCCCACTTTTTCCCGACCTCCCGACCCATCTCAAAATTCCCGACTTTTCCCCGATTTCCGACCTGGTGAGGACCCTGTAAAAGCTCAATGTCTTGAGATTTATTCTGCGTTAGAATGGTTAATTTCTGCGCCTTAGTTTTTTATCTAGACAAGTGTTTGTAGAGTACCTAGGCTGTACCCAATTTGTCCTATTTTAGTTTCAAATTTATGAATAAACGATTGTTAATTTTAAAAAGGCATGACTAATCTCTCCAAAATCTGTGTATAACTGAATACGAATATCATGTCTTTTACCATGAGAAAACTTAAATCTGCGCGAGTAGTAATAGTCAAGTTATAAGAGAAGAAAGATCCACATCTGCATTTTTTAACTAAAGACGATCAGCGTTAGCTCTTATTTTACTATTAAACAAGAGAAAGTTACTCTGCGTTTGTTCATGTATCATGCTGTGTCTGTGGCAGCCTGCATACAACTAATAAGATATAAGCGATTAAAAAACCCCACAAAACCGTTTAAATACATGCATAGAGATAAACTTCTTGCATGGAATAAAAATAATGACAGGTAACACATTCATTCTTAGTTTTTGTGTCAGAAATATGCGCGGACACAATTATGAATGTAAAGAAATCAGTCACATTGCATGTCATAGAAACGAAAAATAAAGCTGGAAAAGTTTGGTGCTGATTCAGTGTCCCTGGAAAGCTAGAAATTATTCTTGTAACCCAATTACGAGAAGTCATCCCTATTATTCAGTCAACTTACAAAACCTAGACTTAACGTTTTAAGAAAAGTAAGGAATTTCTGGGGTGAAACAGATACTGTTCATGCGTTACATTGAAGATATATTCTGGCATTAAAATCGATTTTTACTTTTCATAGAGAAACTTCATGGTAACTTTTATAAACTTTCGAGAAAATATGCGAATATTCACGATTATATTAGACACATAAAGTTGTATTTGGAGGAATTACTTCATAGTGAATTGTGTGCCTGATGGACAAAGTTGCAAAATTACAGCTTTCTATTATATGCGCAGATACCATCTTTTCTGAGTATCTGCACCAATGCTATGTCGTTCATGTTCCAAAAGTTTGACAGATTTTGTCGAGGCCTTTTTTTATATTGATTTTTTTTCATTCACGCTAGTCCCAAAAAAAATTACAAGTTAGCATTGCCGACTCCAGCATATCTAACGACATTACAGAAAAGTTACAACGTCCGTTCTTTTTTGAGTCTCAAGAGCAGAAATGCATGCTTTGGGAGCACTAAATGAGAATTACCATAAATACAAGGAAACACCTAAAATTGTATGTTGAAAAGTACCAAAAATCAAGTTGGCCCAGACAGAGCGGCGACAGGGAGCTGACCCCAGTGACCCTGACGTGATATGGTGCTCGGCGGAAACCCCCAGCGGCAACTAAAATTCAGCCGCCGGTGCACCGTGGGAAATGGACGTACAGAAAAGTGGGAAGACCTGGAGTGACATCAAGCGACTAGCCCAGGATAGGGAAAGGTGGAGAGTGTTTGCTCGTTGTCTATATCCTGATTCAGGGTGAGAAAGGCAATGATGATGATGAGGAATGCACAGTGTGCCGGAGTGATCCTAAGCATGCCTTTACACAGAGAGTGAGTTTATGTGAACCTGTGCAAAGTAGGAAAGGGACGCAGCATCTCATATTAGTCACTACTTTGACCTCACCTGAGGGGGTGAAGGTCACTTTCACTGACAACATGAAAAACATGGCTGTTTTATAAAGATTCAGCAATAGCAGTTAGGTCTACAACTTACAAAACCATTGAATGAGTGGTGGAAAAAAGCAGAAAGACTGACTCATTTTATTGAGGTGCACTGATATGTCAGGAACTGATAAGAGGAAAATATTGGTGATGGTTATAGGAAAGTGCACTCAGCCGTGCAGCTTTCCAAGCGACCACTTCTGACTATCTGTCATCTATTACAACTCAGTAAATACATGAGTGACATCAGACATTAAGAGAGACTATTCCTAGTGACTTAATGGACAAGTATGTTATAAATTCTTCAAGCGCAGCAGATCACTCAACTAAATCATTAATTTTATAGGCCTATCTAGAGTTCTACAGCATTCACACGCGTTGTACATCATAGGCTTCAAACATTAGTTACCCAAACACCTGTGATAAACCTTCTCTCAAAGATACATTTCAAGTGACAAATAAAAAATTATTTCATCACTCCCCCAAAAATATTGCTCGCCCGACCTTGCTGTCCGTAGGGTGTGAACATGCTGTCCAGGTAGTTGTTTAGACTAGACTTTGTTGTTGCAAGTATTTCTTTTTATCAATCTTTACCTGCTGGTGTGTTTCACAGATCAAAGTGTACATTTAGAGGAATTTAACTTTTAGTAGCGTTTTTATATCTAAATTATGAAGTAAAAAGCCCTTAATAAGATGAAAGCATGCATTTGAGCGGAGCATGCCCTTGTATTCCATGGTCAGAATTATAATAATATGACCACATTAACTTCCCTCACATTCCATCTTTAGTCCCTGTTAGAGTATAACTGATTTCAAAAACTCAAAAGTCAACACAAAGTTAAAAAAGAAAAACTCAAAAACATTAATCCTGAATCTACACTACAGCTCCACACACACATCCATACTCATACACACAAGTTAATTAGTGCTCTGCAAACACACAGCAATACCAGGTTGGCCTTTAATCCAGTACTTGGTTACTAAAAATATTTCTCTGCGTCTCAAGTTCCCGACAAGCCCCCCCCCCCCCCCCTAATAATAATTACTTCATGGATATTCATGTTTACAGAATACCAAAATGAAAAATAATAAGATACAATCAAAACTTACTTTGGGGCTGACTTTCTCCAATATCTGTCAATTCCATTTTTGCAGTATAAGGCAGCTAACCACCTCACATTAGCATCAACGGTGTGATTACAAAATATATCCTGAAAAAAACAAATAGTACAGTAAAAATCATTAAATTATATAAAAAGAAATAATAAATACCCTGAGCTGTAACTTGACTCAAAATTTACCATAAAACTCATCTACTCATCCATTTGAAAGTTAATTTTTTTTCTTAAAACTGAGAAGGCAGAAGTATTCTTAACTGATTCCATCCATTCGGCCGCTTCTGAATTTTTTCCGTTGCATCCATTCGACCGCTGTGAGTGGCTTAGCCAAATCAGAAACAAATGTGCTTTTTATAACATAGTTCCTACTTTTTAAGTGGTCAAAAGGAAAAAGAACTTGAAAAAAAACCCTGACCTCAATATCTGAGCGCCAATATCGATCGAAACTCCGCGAAATTCTTGCAAAAATCGTTGTTTTGTTGTCGTTATGTAGGCTAGATCTAAGGGTAAATAACACGGACCCTGGTATAAAAAAAAAACCCTTCAAAGAAAGATATTCAACTAAATTTGTGAAATTCTTGCATAAATGTGTGCTAGAGTGATATTGCTACAATTTTGTGTTGATTCCTATGGATCATAAGGACTTGTAGAGCTGAGAAAATGCGGTAAGTCGAAATTTTCGAAGAGGTGTTGCACAATTTTTTTCCCTCATTCGTTTTTGTCAGACGGAAAATACAATAAAAACAGATTATAGGTCATTGTAGATTCCTCTATTGATTCCCATCACTTTGGTACATGACAATACAAATGAGAGTAACTTAGAGCTTCACAGTAATGTATTAAATAGATGCACCCCAGGTCTAAAACTGAAAAAGGAAAAATAATTCTGTCCAGAGCCTGAAAAAATCATGGATGGAATCAGTTAAAAAACATTTTTATTTTCATTTTGAATTCTGTAAATTTAGAGGCCAAGTCCATTGAACCTGTACAACAACAACATAAGATTCGTGGGCACCAAATACATTGCTACAAACACGCAAAAAATATGGTGCACAAGAAAAATGACACATCTGGTTGAACCAGGTTCTAAAAAATGTCTGTTGAGCAATAAATTAGAAATTGAGTACCCAAACTAGATTTAAGATCTGAACTCTAATAATATATATTGATATATAAAAGGGCACTATCAAAACTCCTCTAACCTTTCAACTAATTTTCATAAAAGATTTCAGAAGTTTAATTTGTTGCTAACCGTGCTGGACTTTTAGCATAATCTATAATCTTACTGTGAGAATAGAATAAAAGCCTGGGACAGTCTCCCATTGCTGCAGTTTCTGTTCTGCAGGTTTCAACACATCAGTATTTTGACTGCACGCATTTGCTAACGTCTCTAGCACCACAGGTTTTGCAGCCTGAAGGGAGCCCTCCATTTTGATGTCTCAACAGCTGGCCTTGAAACTCCAATTAGATTTGACCAACACTGGGAGTTCATTCTGCGAAGGATCCACTCTGAAAGTAAAAAGTTACCAAGAAATCAGGATTCATCTCATTAAAATATAATTCTTTGTAACAAATGAGCATGGATGTGAGGTAGCAGGAACTCAAAACCTATGACATCACAAAAAACCCAGAATTTTCTCCGTCACCGGGAACTGTACTCTTGACAGAGCAGGGTAGGTTAGAAATAAAAGCAGTATCATTGTGTGGTAGAGTTCACATTGTTTTACTTTAAAAGCCTAGGCAATTTGTTTCAGCTCCACTTTCCCTTATTCTATTCTCAGTAAAAAATATTTGTGTCACGATGCCGGGAAATCAGGTGCTCGTCAATCTTTGGCCAGGTGTGGAATTATTGGTATCATCTTTAAGCTTGTTTGTTTGGCTTGCTTTCAAGGAAAAATTATCAATTCATCATGGATACAAGTTGAGATATTGGCGACTGAAAGATTTCAGTTTCAGAGATAAAATTAGCGAGAATATGGCCAGCAAAGTTTAGTTAAAATTCCTTAGCTTGAGAGTCCTTTGAGATTCAAAACTTACAATTTTGTGCCTTTAAACAATGTTTTTCAGAAAAACCCACACAGAAATGTAATGGACATGAAAGGTATTGAGCCAAAAACAAAGATTCGATAAAATTTTCCAAACCTGAGGGAAAATGCAAGTTTCATCCCTTCCATTATTTTGACGAGAGCCTGATTTCTCCACACTGCCTCACAATTCATAATATAATCATCCAGGTGAGGTAGCTTCATTTGCTTATATTAATTCTCTTCGCTAAATTCTTATTTTTTTAAAATTAGCCTCCCCTTCTTGAGCACTTACTTTAATCCATATACATTCAAATATATTTTATTAGAGAGAGAGGGGGGGAGAGAGAGAGGGGGAGAGAGAGAGAGGGGGAGAGAGAGGGGGAGACGGAGAGAGAGGGAGAAAGAGAGAGGGGGGGAGAGAGAGGGAGAAAGAGAGAGAGAGACAGAGAGAGAGAGAGAGAGAGAGAGAGAGAGAGAGAGAGAGAGAGAGAGAGAGAGAGAGAGAGAGAGAGAGAGAGAGAGAGAGAGAGAGAGAGAGAGGGAGAAAGAGAGTGTGAGAGAGAGAGTGCGTGTGAGAGAGAGTGAATTGTTAAAAATGGACAAATCAGAACTTCACAAACTTTTACAGGCTGTATTTCAATGCGACAGAGATGGAAGTATAAAATTTATTTCAAGACAACAGTTACACAACCAAAATTCATTTCAAGACAACAGTTACACAACCAAAATTCATTTCAAGACAACAGTTACACAGCCACAAACCCAAGGCTGAACAGAATTAAAATGAATACATGCCAGGACAACAATTAGATCTAGACCATTTGTTACACTTACAAGAAGAAAATTGCAAAGTTTAGACTAGATCTCTAGAGTTGTAGATTTAGATCTAGAATCTAGAATTAAAGTTATGAGGGGGAGTAAAAAAGTACTGCATGTTGTTTGCTATTTTTCTCAGTATTGCATTATATTACATGAAATTCAGCCAAGGAGATTAAAAGTAATGGAGGATGCTCTGTGAGCGGCACCGCACCCCTGATAGGAGCCCTCTCTCATTGCGGAACTGTGGGCTACCTGCGCTGTGCGAAAGCCCAACTCACGCACTGAAATCTAGATAAGAAAGAAGGATTTATTCCGAGGTCCTTGAGAATAGGCAAGTCAATTAGTAAAAATGCCTTGCACCTGTGTTGTATTTAAGTGTAAGAAGAGGACCGAAGTTTTCTCAGTTAAGTTGTTTTCCTTAAAAAAATTTTGAATGAAAGTGCCACCAGCAACACAATTTAGATCATTAACATTCATTAGAGGCTGGCTCCGGCGCTACCTGCCAAGGCCAACCCAGGCTGAAAGGGATACAACACCCCAGCAGAAAGACTGAGATACTCAATTTTTTAAAAGTATTCTTATTCTTATATATATAATTATTATGTGTATATATATAATTATTATGTGAGTGTGTATGAACATATTATACACTTTAATTAAAGATATTGCTTTCCATTGTGTGTGCAAATTAGATGCTACTGTTGTGTAAATGTAGATATCTAGAGGCTCCATTAGAATTTGAAATCAATACTCAACAACAATAATGATGAATATTTTCTAGGTTAAAGAAACACCAAACCATATCAAATGAGGGGAGAGGATAGGGTGGGGTGGATAAGAGTTTGAGTCTTGTTAGATAGAACTATACTCGGTTTAATTTTATTGTTGTAGTCTTCACCTAAGATCCCACAATCAATAATTCCGGTTCACTTAAGATTCAGCTGTTTAAAAATAAACCAAAGCAACAACAGATTTTACTACACAAGAGTCATCACTAAGATAAATTATCCCCCTCTGGAGTGTAATAAGGGACTAAAAACACTGCTCTCCATATCATACTTTACTGAACAAACAAAAAAAAAACCCTTCAAAGGTCATCCAAGCTCATGCATGCGATCACACCTCCAAAGGTGCTGTTATCTCTCTTTTTTAAAAATTATTTGAAAGCATTTGCGCTCCACTTTGTGAAACCCAGGAAACAAAATTATTGTAATCAATAATATTATTTTTTATAGACCAAGACATACTGTCAGATAAAGCTGGCATCGACCCCCTTTTGTGTTCGCTATTCCTTACACATAAAGTTAGTTATGGCACACGCCTAGAATCATGCAATCATATCTTAAATTCAGTTTAAAAGTATATTTTTATCCATTTCTTATGATTAAATATTTTAGCATCTTGAAAGATTATCTCTTTATAATTTGGTATGTTTGATAATTTTATGTTACTCAGACAAGTTTTCTTCTTATTTTACACATCTTCCTGATTTTTAAACTAGATTATAACATAAAACTCTCAAAGAATTGAACAGACCGTATCACACACAGAATTTTTTTTTTTTCTCCCTGTCATTATCCGTCTGCCCGTCAGTTGATCACAATCTCTCTCTCTGTCTGCCTGTCAGTCTCTCTCTCTTTGCCATATCGACAGACCGAAGGGCTAGAACCCAAATGGCCGCTGGATCGGAAAAGTAAAGTAAAGTAAAGTCTCTCTCTCTCTTTTATTTAATTTTTCCCATTCTCATTCATCCCTTCCCTAGGCCCGCACCTCCTCTTTCATCCCAGCCCCATCCCCTCTTCCTTGTGTGCATTCCCCCACCCCCACAACGTGGCCCAGCCCGATAAGATTCTATAAAAAGAAATGCCATAGTTCGTGATTTAGCCCACAGTCGGCGGCCATATTTGATCCCCACCGCGGCGTACTGCTCGTGGCGCCGCGAAGAGAGAGAGGAGGCTCCATTAGTTCTAAACTCCTTGCATTCAGCTCACAAGTACTTTTGCAAGTACTTTTGAACTCAAACTTGTTAAAATTGAAGTTTCTTTGATTTTTGCCTGAATGACGTCACATCAAAATGGCTGCCCCCTCGGAGGTCTGTCAGAGGCAAAGAGCTGTGATTGAATTTCTTGTTTTAGAAGGAGAATCCACAGGTAACGTCCAAAATAGACTTTATAACGTTTACAAGGACCAAGCTCTAGATTTTTTTACTGTATAGAGGTGGGTCTGACGTTTGAACAATGAACCGGAAGAAGAGGAAGAGGTGTCCATATATATATATATATAATCTTGTCAGACAAACATTATGATATGCGAAGAATCAGCCAGAAAAATCAGGTCAGCCGGGTTTTGGAAAGTTCATAGTGTGTTTCTCACATTTTTTTTTACAACGAAGAGCTGTCAATTCTGATGCCTACATGATTGAACCAATGAAAAGACAGAAAGCGAGATTAAGACGAGTCAGACCAAATTTGAACATAGAAAGAATGTTTCCTTTTCACCACGAATATGCCCGCCTGCATACGAGTACCAGAACAAGGGAGACAATAACCCCGTTTGGAAGGAAAACACTGTCACACCACCCAGCTTATTCTCTAATTTGGAACCTTCAGACTTCCACCTTTTCGGTCCTTGAAAAGAACAATTGAGAGGCCAACACTACGGAAATGATGGAAAAATCAAGACTGCTGTACACCTAAGACCGACCAGCTCAATTTTACGAAGCTGGCATTTGTGGACTACGCAGACAGTGGCTTCCGATGGAACAAAATGGAGACAAGGCTTATATTGTCGTTGAGAAATATAGAAATCTGATCCTCAGATGCTCCACTTGAACCTTCACTTTGAGAGGTATGATGGTTGCCAGCAGTGCGTTCTTTTTTCTTTTAGATCTAGATTAGATCTACATCTAGTTATAAACAAACTTGCGTTACTTTTTTACTCCCCCCTGTAAATCTAGATTCTAATCTAGATCTAGAATCTAGATTCTAGGCCCTAATCTCCTAGTAAGTCCTCTAGCCTAGTCCTAAGTCAAGTCCAAGTCTAAGCTGCTAAGAATCAAAGAATCAAATTGAAGGCCCTTGTACTTATGGTCCAGAATCTCTCTTGGCTACAATTATTGTGACACGGAATCCCTATCATAGCCTTAATATAAATTCAGACCAAGGCAGAATTAAGTTGGGGATGGCTGTACTGAGGCTGAGGAGCAAGGCAAAAAAATGTTTAATTTATGACACTCAAAAGTCTCAACAAGAAACAAATGTTGACCTCGTTCTGTCTTAGTAGGGAGACAGAAAATCCAAGATTTCTCTCTGGTTAAACCACTCCACACTACTCTACAATATACGAACGGACCATTTAAACCCAGCTTACATCCTGGTGAATTATATCTTTGTCAGACTACATCTACTCGTCTTTTCGTCTTTGTTGTTATTTTTTAAGCGTCGTAAAAGCAATGAATGACAAACAACAATCACTGTCACTTCAGCATTATTATCTTTAAAATGTGAATCTGGTTCACCAATAACATTGTAACGGATACGTATAGTTGTCTTACAATTAACAGAGGCAAAAAACGATTTCATAAGGTTATTTTAGTGTCAACAAAACTACAAAAAGTTTTTTCTTCGAAGTAAATACTCACGCATATGGGCGCCGCCATTTTGACAACTCCGAACTAAAAACAACGAAACGAAAGGTTCGAGATTTGTTCTAAAAATATAAATAGGCATAATGCACTCAAGCTGGAACAAAACCACAATTTGAATTTCAATGGCTATCAGATTACTATTACTTTTTATAATATATCAATAAATATGTTATTATAGTTCCTGACAAAAAGAATAAGGCTGAGTCCAGAATTACGTAGGGTTTTTTTTTATACCCAGCATTCACCCATAGAAAATAAATGTGTGCACGGATAAAAAGTTGATAGATAGATAATATCTAGATCTAAATCTAGATCTAGATTAGAAATTATGAATGAACCAGCTTCTTCCAATAGGCTAGGCTCTATTAATGGAACAAGTAATACAATTTTAATTTGAATAAAGTCTTAGTTCTCTTCACCCCCACCTACC